AACTGAATAATAATAATAATAAAAAATAAAGTCAATAAATAATTTTTAAAAACCATGATGGGTGTGTGTGCGTGCATGTCTAAAATCCCAGAGATGAATGGAGGAAAAGAAATTGTGGTGTGGCCATTCCCCTGGGAGTGCTTCTTTCTGTTCTCCTCCCTCTCTCTGTCTCCAGCTAGTGCACAGGCTCATAGCCAAAAAAAGAAAAAGAAAAAAGAAAAAGAAAAAAGAAAGTCAGAAAGCATTTAACTTAAAAAAATATTTTATTAACTTTATTTATTTATTTATTTTAATTTGACCAGAGAGGAACAGTGAGAGAGAGAGAGAGAGGGAAGTGAGAAAGCAAGCCTCCAGGTCCAGGACTTGAGCTACGGTTGGCCACGTGGGAGTCCAGTGCCCTAAACCGCCAACCACCTGCTTGCCGGGACAAAGGGAGTTTTAGAGTGTGAACTTATTTATTTATTTATTTATTTATTTATTTATTCCATGAGAGAGAGGCAGAGACAGGTACCCATAAAAGGGCCTTTCTGCTGCAGTCTACCCTCGGTCTCTGGGCCCAAGTCACCGTACTTGCCTTCTGTACTCAAGGAGGTTATGAGGCACGAAACCAGGACGTGCCCTGCATGGGTCCGCTGCACCACCTCCCCGCCCTGCATCTGACTTTTAAGTCTCCTGACAGTTTCCGTTTCTTCTTTCCCTTGAAAACACATTCCAGTGCTGACATGAAGCACCCGTACCCAGGGGGACGGCAGGAGAGAATTTGCAGCCTTCTTGCCTGTGCCGCGCGAGGGCAGTTGGAGAGAACCATAATCAAGAGCATTCATGAAGGTAGGGACCAGCAGTTAGCATAATGGTTATGTCACTGGACTCCCATGTAGTCAACCGCGGTTCGAGTCCCAGACCCAGTGCTACAACTCACGCCGGGCGCATGTGCGTGCATGCCAAGGTCCCGAGAGGAGAATGGAGGAGAAGGGATTGCAGCGTGGCCATCCTCCCTGGGGGGTGATTTCTCGCTTTCTGTCTCTCTGTCTCTCTGTCTCTCTCTGTCTTTCTGGTGAGCGCATGCACCCTATAGCAAAAACCTCTCTCTCAAAAAAAAAAGAGCATCCATGAAGGCGAGCCACGCCACTGGCTTTACAGAATGAGGTCTCCGAACTTCCAGGGCTGAGGGCATCTTCAGTGCATCTATCACTTAGCTCGAATAGCTAAAAGGACATCAGCCAGGCTTAAGACTGAGGGTGTATTTTTTTTAAGAGAGATTTTTGTTATTAGGGTGCATGTACTTGACAGAGAGACAAAAACAAGAAATCACCCCCACCCCAGGGGGTTGGCCACGCCGCAGTCCCTTCTCCTCCATTCTCCTCTTGGGATTTTGGGCACACACGCACATGTCCAGTGTGAGTTTCACCCCACCAGGTGTAGGACCTGAACTGTGGTTAGCATTGTGGGAATCCAGCACCTTAACTAGTATACCACCTGCTGGCCCCGTACGGGTGTATTTTTTTGGATGTCAATGTGTTGTAGTGTCTTCTGCATTCTCTCTCGCTCTCTTTTTTTCTTCTTTTGTTTTTTTTTTTCTGGAGAGGTTTTTGTTATAGGGCATGTGTGCTTGCTAAAAAGACAGAGACAGAGAGCGAGGAATCACCCTCCAGGGGAGACAGCCACGCCGCAATCCCTTCTTCTCCATTCTCCTCTCGGGATCTTGGGCACACACGCACATGCCTGGTGTGAGTTTAAGCCACCGGGTCCGGGACTCAGACCACGGTCGACTACATGGGAGTCCAGCGACATAGCCATTACGCCAACTGCTGGTCCCTGTCTTCTACATTCTCTGTCAATGTTGCATCTATGTAATTTAAATAATTTTTATACACACATATACTCGCATATAGCAGCTTTCACCCCCAGACTCCTCTGAACTTCCCTGAGTCCTTTTCAGATCTCCTTTCTGGAGAAGCAGCGACTGGCAAGGCATTTCCTCATTGCATGTCCTCATCTACTTCATCTACCCCAGGGAGCTCCATGCCCGACTAACCCTAGGTGACCGTCACCTATATGTGCCAAGACAGGGGCCAATCTAGGGCAAATGCCACCTGACCTCATGAGAGCAGGGGAAGCCCTTGCTGCCTAGTTTCCCTCAGGAAGTGTTTTCCTTTCCACAGTTCCCAGGTCAGGGCCATGACAACAGTCTCCTAAAAACAGAGGACTATCTTCTTTTCGCCCCATCCTGAAGTGGAAGGAAACAGGAGAACCAGCTCTTTTTGGTTCACTTAAGTGATTGCTGATTCATCCATCCTTTTTCCATATTACTTTTTCTTTTTTTTTTTCAATAATTGGCAGAGGGTGCATGTGCTCTTTTGAGAAAGAGAGAAAGAGGGAAAGTGAGAAAGCGCCCCCAGTGGAGCATGGTATCACTGCAACCCTTTCTCCTCCATTTCTCCTTCCTTTGGGGATTTTTGGCACACACGCACATATACCCAGTGTTTTTGTAAATCCCCAAGTCCAGGTCTTGAACTGCTCAATCAACCCTGTGGGATCCAGTCACCTTAACCACCAGGCCACAGCTGGCCTAACAAGGAATTTGTGTGTGTGTGTGTATGTGTGTGTGTGTGTGTGTGCGTGTGCACTACAGGGTATACACACTAGCCAGAGAGAGACAGAGAGACAGAGAGAAGAAAAAGCATGCTCCTCTCATGGGCAATGGTCAGGCTACAATCCCTTTTCCTCCATCTTTCTCTCCTTTTGAAATATTGGGCATGCTTGCACACGCACTTGGCATATTTCTCAAGCTACCAGGTCCAGGACTTGAACCATGCCATTAGCCGTGTGGCACCTAGCTGCCTTAACTTTCAGGCCTTGGAGCCAGCCCCATCCCAGTTTGGGCAGCTGTTCGTACCTGACACTATCGGTGGAGGTAGCTCTCTTTTCCTCAGAGAAGACCTCTTGTCTGTACGTACCTTGAAGTAGGATTAAGCAAGAGGGCAGAGAGTGAGAGCAGACAGGGAGATGTGGAGGGCAGAACACACACAACCTAGGCCCCTGCACAGAGGTCCCATTCACCGACACTTACACCTCAAGCATCAAAGGCATCCTTCTCTTTGGACCAATGTGACCTCGGAACCCCAGGGTAGTCTCTCACTTTGCCCCACAGCCCTGCTCTGTGGGGATTCAATGAGAACTCAGCCAGGCTTTTAAACGTATGATTGACAATATGAGACCCTTGAGCCAAGGCTGTTTACGAGATGCCAATTTTTTTCTTTTTTCTTTTTTTTTTTTTAAAGAGTTTTTTACTATAGGGTATGTGTGCTCACTGGAGAGACAGAGAGAAATGGAGAGACAAAAAGTGAGAAATCACCCCCCCCAGGGGGGTAACCACACCATAACCCCTTCTCCTCCATTCTCCTCTCGGGGTTTTGAACATGCACACACACATGCCAAGTGTGAGTTTTAAGCTACTGGGTCCAGGACTCGAACCATGATAGGCTACATGGGAGTCCAGCGACATAACCATTATTCCATCTACTGGGTTCCGTAAGATACCAGATTTTATCTACCCAACATCGGGATGGAATCCATTTCACTTCTCAGCTTCTCTCAGATCCTGCCTCTTGGGGACTAGTCACAAGAAAGAGCAAAGAAAGGCACCAGAAAGACAAGAATTTTACAAGAGGCCCCTATAGCCTTTGTGTTTGGATGTAAAATACAGACGGTCCCTGACTTTCAGTAGTTTCCCTTAGGAGATTTCAGGTTCCCAGCAGTGCAGATGTGAACACGCACTGAGGAGAAACTGTGTTTTGAGTACCCATATGGCCATTCTATTTCTCACTTTCTCTACAACAGTCAATAAATTACATGAGAGAGTCCACATTTTGTTATTAAATGGGCTTTGTGTTAGATGATTTTGCCCAGCTGTTGGCTAATGTAACTGCTCAGGCACATCAAAGGTAGGCTCTCAGAGGCTCAGATGTGTGGCAGGTTAGGGGTGTTAACTGCGCTTCGTTACAATGGGTTTATCGGGTAGAACCCCATCATAAGGTAAGGAACATCTGTAATGTGTCTGTGAATGGTCTTTCAAAAATTTATGAAAAAATGCAAATTATGAAGAAACTATGCAACGGATTTAAAATTTTTTGGTCAAAATAAACTCATAGGGGGACCAGCAAGTGACATGGCAGTTAAGGTGCTGGACTCCCACTTATATGACCACAGTTTGAGTCCCGAACCCAGCGACTTGCTTTCTTATTTTCTCTCTCTCTAGTGAGTGCACATACCCTATATTAAAATTTAAAAAATATAATAATAATAAATAAAATAATTCTTAAAAAAACTCACACTTTAAATTCTATTTTCCCACAAACTCTTTGAAGTCCCTTCATATTGTCTTTGACAGTTTGAATTCCTGTATTCTCCTTCATTCTTTTTTTCTAAACTTTTTAAAAGAATTATTTATTCATTTAATTTTATTTGTTATTATTATTATTGTTTTAAATTTGGCCAGAGAAAGACAGAGAGAGAGAGAGAGGGAGAGGGAGAGGGAGAGAGAGAGAGAGAGAAAGAAAAAAAGCTGCCAGATCTGGGAATTGAACTGCGGTTGGCCATGTGAGAATCCAGCTCATTAACCACCATGCCACCTGAAGGCCCCAATCTCCCTCATTCCTTTTTTTTTTTTTTCCAGAGGTTTTTGCCTTAGAATGCTTGGACTTGCCTGAGTGCGAGAGAGGGGCAGAGACAGTGAGAAGGAAAGTGAGAAATCACCTCCTGGGGGATGGCCACCCTGCAGTTCTTTACTCTTCATTCTCCTCCTGGGATCTTGGACACACACACACTGGCACTGGCATGGTTTTGAAGCCATGGGATCCGGACTTAAACTGCAGTCGGCCATGTGGGTGTCCAGCAACATAACCACTATGCCGTCTGCTGGCCCCCCTCTCCTTTATTCTTGAACCATAGATAACCTATACAGTGGTCTGGAGTAGGACACTGGAATTTGGGATCTGTCCCAGCTGCTTACTGCTGGGACCTGGAGCAAGTGACCTAAACCTCCTGAGCCTTGTTTTCTGTCCTCACACGCAAAAATCCATCGCGAGCCAAGAAAGCCACTCACAGAATCATTCAGTGTAAAGTTTAAGTAAAATAGCATGTGAGGGAACACTGTGAGCTCTGCATAGCTCTACCCATGTAAAAAATTACTAGCTCACGTTCTTAATAATAACTCCTTATTATTAATTCTAAATCAACTCTGCCTTCCCTTATGGAGCTGTAGAGCTCTCTGCGTCTCTGATCTCTTTCTCTTCCTGGTCATGTTCTATCATTCCATTAAATTCATCTTTTCCAACACCTTCCTTCCCCTGCTAAGGACACACACATACACACCCTAACTCATTTATCCATTATTCGAATTCCTGTCAATCAGTTTCTTATTCCTCATATATTTACATTTCCAAAATGACTGTATTTACGTATCATTTGCTCTTACCCACACTAAAGATGGATATAGCCAGATACAGCAATCACAGGGGTGTGTCCGTCAGGTTTCAATTCAGGAAACAGAAGCAATGCTAGGTGTTTCAAGCAGAAAGTGATTAAAACAAACAAACAAACAAAAAACAGACAAAAAAACAACAACATGGAATTAAATGCTTATACAATTCATTAGGAGAACTAAAGAAACTGAAGTTAGGGGCTACCACTCCCCGAACTCTGGATTTCCAGGGCACGATATGATAGTTGTAGCCCAGAGGTCAGCTGCCTGAACTGCCTGGCAATGCCTGGCGATGTGAGTTTGGTGACTGCTCAGTGACTAGTGGAGCGTGGGCTCTGGCTTCACA